CAGTTCACTTTGAAAATATCAGTCAGGCAGTAAAATTTCGAAATAATCTGAGAGAAATAATTTATGCAAAGACATGACTTTCCTGCAACGTAATATTTGCTCCACTGAGGTGAAGAGCTAAAAACAAACCTGTAAGTAATAGCAACAAATTTCAAGAACTTGCACATAAAGAAAATAGCTAAACCTGCAACTGAATATATCAGGAAATTGTTTGTTTTTAATTATGCACAAAGCTACACAAGGGCTATCTGTGCTCTGCCCACCACGGGTATCGAAACCCGGGTTCTAGCGTTGTAACTCTTCAGACATACCGCTGTGCCACTGGGGGGCATATCAGGAAATGTTTGCACGTGGTTTTTTCCACTTAATAATAATTACGCTATAATTACAATCTTTAAAGTTATCGATATAAGCACAATTCTTTATCTACTAGACATCAGAACCAAACTGATAATTCAAAGATATCTCATTTTCTTCATAGAATAGTTAAAATCGTCGATATGCAAATGCAAAAACAATATAAAAAAAATTGATAAATTCCAGTTGACTTATTTAAGTTTCAACAATAATTATTTTTCGGATTCATCCGTACATAATAGAAAAATAAAAAAAATATTGTGCTAAAATAGTGTTACTTTAAAAAACAGTTTCTTTCTGGTTGTGGAAATGAATAAGTAGAAAAATTAGGTCAAAACAACTCGTGCACCTCATTGTATGTTAATTTGTTCTCCTAACGGTTTGGTCCGTTTTTTTTCTCTCTTTTTCAAGTTTTTATTGATTTATTTTAAGAACTCGACATTTTAGCATGAATTAAAACATACTGTTCTGCAAACTGGAAGACACTGTACGTGAGTTAACATTAAATTGTTCTTGAATAACAGAGATTCTTCTTTTTTTGTTGTGTTTACTTTTCTGACAAATTTAAAATGTAATAGCTCTTTACGTGTACTTTATTTTGTTACCTCCGCCACCAAAGGTGGACGAAAGTAATGTTTTCACCAGTTTTGTGTGTGTGTGTGTTTGTCAGCAAGATTTCTCGAATACGGCTGAATGGATTTGGATGAAAGTTGGTATACGTTTGGACTATGACCAAACTTAGAAGTGATTAGTTTTTAGAGGGACAATGTCACAAAAAGGTCAGGAAAATCCCAAAAATCTCTATCTGTTAACATGGGAACTGATTTTTCACCCTATTTTTGCTCTATAACTCAGTCAAAAATTATCAGAGTTTCATTAAACTTGGTGAACATATCTAAAATACACAGGCCTGCGAATTTAAACTTAATTAAAGCTGTTTTGGTTTTAATAACGGATTTTCCATAATTCAGCTACGTAGATTTTGAAAATAATATTCATTTTTTCTATCACCTAAGGGTTTTTTACAAATTGAGAAGAAAAACTCTTACTTAGATCAAAATTACAACAAATTTAT